TTTTCCCCAGGGAAATCAAAGTGTCTGTTCAAACAGAAATCCTGCGGTACTGTTTATAACAGATTTATTTGTTATAGCTAACACTGAAATCAGCCCAAATGTCCTTCAGCTGGTGAATGGTTACCGCAGTACATCCACACCTCAGGGTACTACTCCGCAATAAAAAGAAATGAACGACTGATGCACCCAACCAGTAACCGCCAAAGAATTATGCTGAGTGAAAAAAAGTCAATTCCAAAAGATTCTATACTGTATTGATTCCATTTATACGACATTTTTGAAATGACAAGATTAAAGCAATGGAAGAACAGATTAGTGGTTGGTGGGGGGATAAGGAGGGGCTGTGTAGGAAGGCAGTGGGCATGGCTAGTAAAAGGCATCCTGAAGGATCCTTACAGCGATGGAAATGTTCTGTGTCTGGACAGAACAGTGTCAGGAGGACATGGCTGTGATATTGTACTATCGTTTTGCAGGATGTTACCATGGGGGAACACCGGGGAAAGGGTACAAGGAGTCTCTGTCTTATTCTTACAACTGCATGTGAATGTGTAGTTGTCGCAGAATAAAAGGTTTGATTTTTTTAAATCTACCTAAAATTTTAAAATGCCTCTGTGAATATTTTTACTTAAAAAAAGGAAAAATGGGAAATAATCTATTAAAGCTCATTATATTGCAAATAGTTCCAATATCAATTTTTTTTTAATAAAAGGATTTTTATTTAGCTCACTAAACTTCAGAATTGGTTTGATACAGTATCTCAATGATGCCAAGGACATGGTTTCTTTTCTTTTTTTTTCATTATACTTCCCCTGAGATTAGCTCCATCCTAAGGCCAGACCCTCTTGTGATCACAAGATAGATGCCAACAACTCACCTGGGGTTACATACTTCCTTGTCCACATCCAGAAAAAGTATGCATACCCCAACCATCCAACAGAAGTCTTGGGCTTCATTATGAAAGGACCACCTTACTTCCAGTTTCTGCTCCTGGACCAATCAGTCTGACTTTGGGATACCACAACCAGCTTATATCATGTACTTGTTTAGACCCTAAACTGTCAAAGGGGAATCTAGTGACTGGCTTAGGTCCACTCATGCAGCTAGGATGAAGTCATTCTCATCAAAAACTCTAAGGGTGGGGTAGGAGTAACTTCTCAAAAGAAAAAAAAAAGGAGGAAAAGCTTAATGGATCTTGAGTATCTCCAACTAATGCTGCACAAACTCTTTAAAAATGAACCACAAGAGCACTGAATTGGATTCCTTGGGATGCAGTGCAACAGAAATAACTACCTAAGTTAATCCAATAGAGACTTCTTGGAAAGATGCAGGAGCTCACTGGGTACAAGTGAACACTGACAGTCCAGGACTCTCAGGAACCAGATGGCTCTGGCAGCCTGAGTGGCAGGAATTGCTCTACAGCTTTTCCTGAGCACTTTGTTGAAATGAATGAAATCCAGTTATATTTTTTCTTACCACCTCATTCACCATTTGAAATCATAGGAGAAGGAGCATAGTTGTCTTTGATTAAGTCACATTCCTGGGCTGAACTCAGGTGGTGACAGGAAGGATCTACTGGAAGGAACTTCCAAAGACATTTTGGTTTCCAAAGTGAGAGGCCAGGGTGCTTACTTCCATAGGTGCATCAGTCTGCACTCATTTGGGGAGGTATAATCTCCCAAAAGGAAACAGGGTTCTTTGTATTTTAGAGGAATGGTTGCTGGGTTAAAAAATTACTATCAATGATAAAACATGTGAGAAGGCACACAACAGTACTCAAATGAAAAGTGTAAATTAAATTGATTTACCTGTCAAGAAAACAAGATGAGTGAACTGAGATTTCAACTCAAGAAGGTAGAAAGAGAATATGAAAATAAGCTCAAAGTATGAGTTATTAGAGATAGAAGTAGACATTTGTTATCGAATAGAAAAAAAATCAATTGACTAGTAAAACTAATAAATCTGACTAGATTTTTTTTGACTAGTCCAATAAAATAGACCAATCTTTGGCAAGTCTAATAAATAAAAAGAGGTTGGGGAAGGGGCAGGGAAGAAAGAAAGAAAGGGAGAAGATAAAGAGGAAAAAATACAAATAAATGACATTAGGGGCAATAACTACAGGTATGGGGATTTTAACAAATGATAAACATGAATGTTCAAGCTTGCAGTAATAAATTTGAACAGCCACATGAAATAGACACTTTACTAAAAAATATCAATTATAAAAATTGACTTAAGATGTAGAAACCTCAACAGACCAATAATTATGGTAGAAATGGAAAGATATTCAAGGAATTATCCCCCAGTGGCATCAGGTCCAGATGGTTTCACAGGTGAACTCATCAAATCTACTTAGAATACAAAATCCCTATGATCGTCAACTTTTCCAAGAATATAAAATTTTTCAATTTATTTTACAAGGGCCTTTATAACTCTGATAAAACAAAAACAAACAGAAAAAGACTAAGACCCTCAAAAGAAATCTATGGGCCACTCCTATTTTTTAACTTAGATATAAAAGTTCTGAATGAAATGTGAGCAAACCAACCTAGATTTATATTATAATTTATATTATATATATAATTTGTATATTTATATTAGAATAAGTCATAATGGCCAAATAGGGTTAACACCAAGCATTCAAAGATGCAAAATTAGAAAAAATTCAGGACATTGACATGTGAAGAAAGTAAAACATAGGATTGTTTTAGTAGGTGCCAGAGCATATGAATCTCTTTTCTATGTCTGCAAATTCCTTAACTTTAAGAATCCTTGGAGAAGCAGAACCTTAATGCCAGATACCTGCTTTCCTGGACTCCCTTGCAGCTGGGTCATAGGCACGTGACCAGTCATTCACACCAGGAGCTAGCATCACAAAGGAGCAGGGTTGGTGCAGGATTCTCTCCCTGCAGTAGGGAGGTTGTGACCGAGTTCCTGGCTTGACAGCTGCAGCAAGCAAGGCAAGCTTCAGTGACCTGGTCTTGCAGCAGGAGCAGAGGTTTGTCACCAGACTGGTTCTGCAGCCTGGCTCTGGGCACTGTTCCTGGCTGCACAGTTCCAGGGATGCTTCTCTAGCCCTTACTGAGATGTCTGTAAAGTAGCCAATGTATTTTTAATAAATTCCTTTTCAGCCTAAGTTAGCCAGAACATTATCTATTTCTTACAACTAAAAACTCTGATACCTAATGCAGCAAAAATCCACAGCCTCAAGGCCCTTTCTCCACAGCATGGCCTCTTTCTCTGTCACTTTCTACCTCACTTCCTGCTGCTTACTGCCTCATTTTCTCCATGTTTTCAAATACTTTTCCATGCAGCTGGAAAATTTTATAAATGGCAAGTCCGTGGATTGACTGCCTCTGGCTCAAGTGTCCACCTCTTGTCCAGTCTCCAGGGTGAGCAGATACGGACAGGCTTATGTGGTTGCATGGTGCACCTTCTGGGAGGCAGCAGGTGGGACATTTTCATCACCAGAAAGGGCAGTGGACCAGATATGGTGACTGGCTTCCTGAAATAGGCACCTAACCTGGTCTTGCGATGTTCTAAAGGGCTTTCCAGAAGAAGAAATTCTGAACAGAACTTTCCAGATAAGTTAGGCAGAAGGGAAGGAGTAGTGAGAAGGAAGTCCAGGCACAAGAAAGAGAATGATCTAGAGTGATGCGATGTTCTAAAGGGCTTTCCAGAAGAAGAAATTCTGAACAGAACTTTCCAGATAAGTTAGGCAGAAGGGAAGGAGTAGTGAGAAGGAAGTCCAGGCACAAGAAAGAGAATGATCTAGAGTGAAGGGTAGAGTGTTACAACATGGGGCTAGACAGGTAAACAAGTGTCAGCCCACACAGGTCCATGTTGGGATCTTAGACTTACCCCTGAGAGTTCTCAAGAGCCATCGTCTCAAACAGTGGAAGGATATGAGCAAACCTGCCACTCTGAAAGACAAGCCCAGTGGGGAGAGGAAGGGAAGTCAGAAAGTTGGGAGGCTGTTGCTATGAAGCAGTAAGAGAAGATGGCAGCCCAGACTAGGAATGGTGGTCATGGGATAGACACAGTGCATTTGAGAGAGATTAGGAGGTAAAATCAGCAGGGCTTGGTGCAGGTTAGATGTGTGGATGAAGGAGGGGAGGAGTTAAGCCTGTCAGAGATTCTATTTGTATGGACTGAATGGCCAGATAAATGAGTGTGTGACGGTACCACTGGGTTGGACAATAGAAAGATAAGCCATTTGGAGAGAGATGATGAGCTCAGTTTTCAACAGTTTTAGTGCTTATGGGACAGCCGGGAAATCCAAAAGGCCGTGAGTCATATGTGTTTGGATCTCAGGAGAGAGCAGCCGGGGCTAGAGATAAAGATTTGAGAGTCGCTGGGGTATAGGTGGTGACTGAAGGCAAGGGATTATAGGAGGGTAATCACATGTGTGTATTAAGATAGCATTAGGAGAGCCCAAGACCAAACTCTGGGGGCAGGTTCATTTTTCATGGAGGACAGAGGAAGAGGAATCCACACAGGAGACTGAGAAGGGCCAGCCACAGGTAAGAGGAAAACCAGAAAATTAGTGTCAGGACTCCAAAGGTAGGGATGGCCATAGGAATGGAGGTTGCAGGATAATCATAGTGGAGAAGTGTCCAGTGGAGGGCAGGGGACACTGGAGACCCGGGCGAGAACTGGGCCAGTGCAGTTGGGGTGGTGAGAAACCAGCCTAGAGCTGGGTGATGAGGGTGAAGACGGGGCACGCCTAAGATGGCAGCAGTGAAGGGGAAGTGAGTGGCTGCTGGGTGGTTGGAAGGCCGGCTGGGGTGGCAGTTGGAGGAGACCACTCCCAATCTCCCCAGTATAGAAGGAAAGTGGTAGAGCACGGCCAGAGGAGGCTGGGGGAAAGTTGTGGAGGGAGGTGATAAGGGCCTGTGTCCGGGAGGGAGACTGTTCCCCGGGTCACAAAATCCCTATCAGCCTGGCATTTCCTCCCCATCCTTGCCCCCTTCCTGCCCCTGACCAGACCCTCCCTGGAGCCAGGAGAGAGAAGGACCGAGTCACACCCTGGAGGAAGCTCTGTGCCTGCGGAGGTCTTTCTACCTGCCTGTAAGCTGGGCTGGGGCTGGGGGAGGAGAGGGTCTGTGGGAAGGGCAGGAGCCAGGGGCTGGGGGCCGGCAGTCCGGGCTCTGTGTGGGAAGGGAGCGGGGAGCGGCAAGGACAGGGCGGGAGGTGCGGGGACCGAGACTCTGCAAGCACCGCACCCTCTCCCGTGGGGCTGGGGCTGGGAATGACACCGCCCGCCTGCCGCAGGTCCCCATGCCGCTCCTCCTCCTGCTGCTCCTGCTGCCCAGCCCCTCGCAGCCACAGTCCGTCTGCGAGGTGTCCACGGTGGCCAACCAGGTGGAAGCGAACTGTGAAAATCGGGGACTGAAGGCGCTGCCTCCAGGTCTGCCGGCAGACACAAACATTCTCCACCTGGGTAAGAACCCCCTGGGCACCTTTTCCACGGCATCCTTGGTGCCTCTGGCTCGCCTCACTCAGCTGCACCTGGGTGGAAGCCAGCTCACTGGCCTGCAGCCTGATGCCTCACTAAAGCTGCTGGAGAACTTGGATATATCCCACAATGAGCTGAAAAGCCTGCCCTTGCTGGGACGGGCACTCCCGGCACTCAGCACCCTGGATGCCTCCTTCAACAAGCTGGCCTCATTGTCTCCTGGTGCCCTGAGCGGCCTGAGCCAGCTCCAAGAGCTCTACCTGCATGGCAATAACCTGAACACTCTGCCCCCCGGGCTCCTGGCACCCACGCCCCGGCTGAAAAAGCTCAATCTAGCTGACAACAAACTGAATGAGCTGCCCCCTGGACTTCTGGACGGGTTGGAGGAACTCGACACCCTCTTCCTACAAGGGAATTGGCTGCGCACAATCCCAAAGTACTTCTTTGGGGACCTCCTCCTGCCTTTTGCTTTTCTCCACAACAACCCCTGGGAATGCAACTGCGAGATCCTTTATTTCAGTTTCTGGCTGCAGAACAATGCCAACAATGTCTACTTATGGAAGGAAGGTATGGATGTCAAGGCCATGACCCCTGATGTGGGCAGCGTGCGATGTGTCAATATGGGAAGCATACCTGTATGTGACTATCTAGGGAAGGAATGCCCCTCCTTCCGTGATGCGGGTGGCATAGACGATTACGATGACTATGACGAGGAGGACCATGAGGGTGACAAGGCGCCTTCTGCAAGGGCTGTGGTCAGCTTCTCTGCCAACACGAAAGCCCCCACTGCCCACTGGGGCCCACTTCACTCAGAATTTACTGCTTCCCCATACAGCCAGGTGCTCCCAACCCAAGAGTCCACCAAGACACAGATCATATTCTCACCCATCCCAGAGCCCACCACAACCCGGACCACCTCAGAGCCCACCACTCAAGAGCCCACCACAACCCGTACCACCCCAGAGCCCACTAACCAGACCACCCCAGAGCCCACCACAACCTGGACCACCCCAGAGCCCACCAACCAGACCACCCCAGAGCCCACCACAACCTGGACCACCCCAGAGCCCACCACCCCAACCACCCCAGAGCCCACCACCATAGAGCCTACCAATCAGATCACCCCAGAGCCCACCACCCCAGAGCCCACCACCCCAACCACCCAAGAGCCCACCACCCGAGAGCCCACCACCCTAGAGCTCACCACCCCAACCACCCCAAGGCCCACTAACCAGACCACCCCAGAGCCCACCACAACCTGGATCACCCCAGAGCCCACCACAACCCCAACCCACCTAGAATCCATCCCAATCCTGACCATGTCAGAACCAACGACATTCTTAAATACCACCCCAGAACCTGCAGCTCCAACTACCTCAGAATCAACCAGATTCTTAACTACCACAGAACCCACCCCATTCCCTACTACCCTAGAAGCCACCACAGTGATCATCTCTAAATTCGTCAGCCCCCTGAAGGTCCGTGGGCTGGTCCAAGAGGATTTGGATAGCTCCAGAAATGATGACCCTCTCCTCAACCCTGACTTTTGCTGCCTCCTCCCCCTCGGTTTCTACATCTTGGGTGTCCTCTGGCTCCTGTTTGCCTCTGTGGTCCTTATCCTGCTGCTGACCTGGGTCTGGCACGTGAAGCCACGGGCCCTGGATTTTGGCCAGTCAGCTGCCCTGGCCACAGACACGCACATCACACATCTGGAGCTACAGAGGGGAAGGCAGGTGACCGTACCCCGGGCCTGGCTGCTTTTCCTTCAAGGGTCACTCCCCATTTTCCGCTCTAGCCTCTTCCTGTGGGTGCGGTCTAATGGCCGTGTGGGGCCTCTGGTGGCAGGACGGCGGCCCTCAGCCCTGAGTGTGGGTCGTGGTCAGGACCTGCTGGGTACAGTGGGCATTAGGTACTCTGGCCACAGCCTCTGATGGGGGTATTTGGGGACCCTGAGAGGCTCTAACAGGCTTTCCTGCTGGGATCCAGCTGGGAGTGTGTGGGTGGGTGGGTAAGGAGCACAGGGCCGGGGGGAGGTCTTAATTACTTTCCCTTTATCAGAGTGCCCTTTTCACACCACAGGCACACAACCTTGGCCCTAGCAAATCCTGAAGGACTTGGCTGGGTCCTGGAATAAAGCTTCCTATGCTGGATGGTGGGGCCCCCAGACTACTAGGTCATTACCGTTGTTTTTGGGGAGTTTTCAGAAAAGGCAAGTAAGAACAGAACATGGTTCCCGCATGTGTGTACTGAGGAAAACTTGGAAAGGGATTATCAAAATGTGAGCTCTGACTCTCTCTGGGTAGTATGAATATAGGTGATTTTATTTTACTTTCCTCTTATTAGCAACTTCCTAGTTTTCCACCATCATATATTATTTGTATAATTAAAAATTTCAAAAAGAACACTTCATCTCTTTTGGAGGGGTATGACTGGGGTAGCTGTCACTAGCGTTCTTAGGGCCTCAAGGGTCCCATCCTAGTTGCACTCACCCAAAAAAGCTCCCGTCTTGGCCTGCACCTACCCTGCTTGGTGCACCTTCAACCAGGCCACCCCAAGCACCAGCTCCAGCTCCAGCACCGTGTTTCCCTGGGGCAGAACACTGCGGAGGCCTACCTGCCTGCAACCTACAGCACTGGGAGTGACAGCAGGTGTCTGACGCCCACACCTGTGGCCTCAGAAATGCAGCTTCCCACTCTGTCCAGGTCAGTGAGATGGGAAGAGTGTGGTCCTGCTGATGTGTACCATCCTGGTGGGTTGTATTAAGTCTTGGGTTTTCTGTTGTCCAGCCAGGATGCAGGCAAACAGAGCCCCCTTCTCTGCCCTGGTGCCATAGATTCTGCCATTCCCCTTACCATGGCGGGTGGGGCTTTATCTCCTGCTGTGTCTGCAGCCCACACCTAGGCCTGGAGCTCAGAGAATGGGAATGAAAGCTGAGTCTTTCTGGCTCCATGGAGACCCCTGCCTCCATATGGTGGGAGATCTTAACATGAAAACCTGACCCCCTCTCCTGCTTTGAGGTCTTCCCCAGAAAGAGGACACTCAGAACACTCAAGCTTGGCAAGCAACAACTTCTGTGCACTGACTGACCAACAGTCCAGCTTCATATCTCCTAACAGATACTTCCCACCCTGGGCTCCATCTACTGCAGACTGCATAGGCTCTGGCTCCCAGCATCCCTCTGAGCCTTTGCTCAGCCAGGAGTGCTGTGCTGTCTCTTCCTGGACCAGTCTAACTGGTCCTACACAGGTCTCTCCTCCCCCAGGCTAGGCCTGCTGCTCCATGTTATCCTGCATCCGTCTGTTCCTACACTCTTTCCAAACTGCTTTGGTGTCATCTTCCCCTCTGGACTTGAAACTCCTTAAGGACAAGGTTCAGGCTTCAAGTTTCTCTAAGTGGCCACTATGGCCCAGGCCAGCATGTGCATGGAGGAGGCAAGAAGGCCCAGCAGGGATGCCAGGCTGCCAAGCTCCACCTCTGCCAAGGGGATAGCTCCCACCTGCTGCCTGCTCATCTCCTGGCCCATCTCGGGAGAAGCCTTTCCCCTTCGGGCCTCAAGTTGCCCAGCCCTCCTTTCAGTTGACCTTCCAGTGCCTCCTGACGTTTTAGGCTCCTGAGGACACTGCCTGGGAATCACAGATCTTCTTCTAAAGAAAGGCTGAGGCAGTCACTCTTCCCAGCCTAGGCCCACATAAAGTCTCCAGCCAACACCCTCTCTTTTCTCAAGCTTCCAGGGTTTGGGACATGTGTGTCCCACCCCCACCCCCACCAGGTCAGCCTTCCCTTCTAGAGACTCTTATTCCCTTCTCTTTAGGCTGCAGAAGCAGTCACCAGACCCCAGAGGCCTTTTCTGAGGATCACACAAAATGATTTGGGTGGCATTCTTGGGTGACTGGCCGGGAAACAACACACAGGGCCTGGAGTTTTGGTTTTCCTCACCCCAGTCAGCTGTGGTAACAAGACTGATTTACATGTCATTTGCATAAAACCAGCAGGTGCTTTAATAATTTTTCTTGAAATCTCCAGTTCCTGTTCTTTGTCCAGTCTCCTCCCCCTCCTGCCCCCACAACTCTCCAGATTTGAGGACAGTGCGATCAATCCAATTTATTGATTATGTCCTCAGTGAGGTGTAGAGAGGAAAGGCCATGTCTGCCCACTGCAGACCCCTTGACCATCTTGACAGCTTTTGCTCTTTGCTGTCCCCCCACACTGCCTTGTTTTCCACACCGAGAAGGGGGATCTTCTGCAGTCCTATGTGCCCTGAAACTAAGACCAAAGAGGAGGCCGGAAATCCTCAGGGAGTTCCCCGACTCCCCTAGAGGCACAGCCAAGGACAGAGATATCCTGAGGATCAGGATAAGCAGGGCAAGCTGGAACAGGGGTAGGACAGACCAAAGTCCTCTTCCCCCAAGGAGGGAACCACACTGTGGAAGGAAAATAAATAGAGGGGCCCAGGGCAGCAGAGTTCAGGCCCTCCGGGGTGCACTGACTGGAGAAGCAGCTGGTGAATGGGAGCGCCAGCATACCAGCTCCAGGCCCCTCGCCCATCTCAGCCACTGAGAAAGAGACGCTTGTAGGCCTTGTTCATTTGCTCCAAGAAGATGAAGGTGAGGACGGTGTGGGGACCCAGACGGGCATAGTATGGTGTAAAGCCCTTCCATAGGCTGAAGAAGCCCTCGTAGCGGACAACCTTCACCAGCACATCCTAGACAGGCAGGCAGGGCACTGGGGATAGGACCTGGCCTCTGGGACCCTGTCCCTTTTTCCCAGCCACCCTTAGCACCCTCCCAGGGCTTCCAGTCCTCCAGCCTGAGCCCCTAGCCCTGCATTCTCACCAGCCCATTTTTGTATTCCGGCTTCCCGTCAATCATTCTCATGTTCTGGATCCTGTAGGAGAGAAGATAAGGGAATGGGAGACATAAAGGAGGCCCTCCCATCCCTCTCCAGGCCCAGGCCTGCTTCCTCACCGGGTCTTGACAATGTCCACAGGCATGGAGGCAGCAGTGGTGACCAGGCCACTGATCATGCTGGCACAGAAGTGGCATAGGATGTTGTCAGAGAAGTAGCCTGAGGGAGGTGGAGCAGGGGGTGCCAGTCAGCTCAGAGCTAGCCCAGACCAGGCTGGGAGCTGAGAGCCCAGCTCTGGGTCTCACCTGAGTCCAGTAAGAACTGCTTGGATTGGGAGTAGGAGGCGAGCTGGGCAGCATTGACGACGACAGCCCGAGCCATGGTAGGGATGCAGCCCTAGCATGGGGGAGCAGGGGAGGAGTCAGAAATGCCTGAGACCTGACCCCACGTCCTCCACATCTTCAGCCCCTTCACTCACCCTCCACAGTGTGGGGATACCCTCCTCCCGGGTAATTCGAATCAGAGCATTAAACACGTTTTTGTAGCCACGGCGTTGTTCAGCTGGAAGCCTGGTGGGAAGGCAGGGAGAGGCCAAGCTCAGGATAGACCACCCTGTCCCACAGCAGCAAAGAAAGGGAGGCCAGAACAGGTGAATGCTCTGCTCTAGGTCTATGATAAGAAATTAGTCCTTTTATTCTAGATTCTAGAGAATGAGGCTAGGGGCAGGCTCCAAACTCACCGGCCATCGGCAGTCATGCGGATAAGAGCCACCTCCGCTGGTGTTCCCACAAAGGCACCAGTTGCACCCGCAGTCATGCCAATTAGGGCCTTCAGCAGAAAGCCAGGGGGTGTACCATCAGACCCAGTCAGGCGCTCAAACAGCACAGTGTAGATGCCAAGGCGAGTAGTGGTGTAGGTGGCCTGGCGCAGCAGGCCAGCCGACAGTCTGGGGAATGAAGGGGTGATTACATCAGGCCAAGGTCTGGAGCTGCCAACCCACACCCTACCCCCATCCTGTTGCCCAAATACCCGGTGTAAATGCCCCTCAGCCCTTCTGTCCTCAGGATGCTGGTGAGAGCATGGAAGCTGGTTTTGTACTCTCGTGTCTTGGCTCCTTCCCCACTCAGCTGCATCCGGTTCTTCACGAGGTCCAGGGGCTGTACAAAAACTGTAGCTCCCATCCTGGGGGAAGACAGGAGTGGAGTCAAGGTCCAGATGTCACACGGGGTGACAAAGGGCAAGGCCTGCAATGCAACTAAGTATTCAGAAGGCTGGTGAGCACGTGTATAAGAGTCTCCCAGTGTACCAAAAGCAAACGTATCTGGAAAAGTCCAGTGGTCCAGAAGAGGCCTTGCAATGTAAGTACTTCATGCAGTACCAAGGGGGTCAAGCAGTGACCTGGGACTGCATGCAGTCCAACCACGGGAGGGGTGGTGGGCATCTTGACCTGGGACTCCATGTAGTCTGGCAGAAGCCATGCAATGACCTGGAACCCCATACACTCCGGCAGAGTCAAGTAATGGGTTGGGAAACTAGGGTGGCTCAGCGAGGGCAGTGCAACGACCCCGCGTGCAGCTGAGTAGGGGCCTTCCAAAGGGTGAAAAGATCCTGGCAGCCCATCGAGGAGCTCGCAATACGCTAGGGACCGCGCTGACCCCATGCTGGCTCCGTTCACTGCAACAGACCCAAAGATGAACCCGGCCCGATTCCATACACCCGTCCCTTCCTCCTCCTTTTCCATCCCTGGGGCCTGAGCTTACCCCGCCAAGCCCCCAAACAGGAACTTGACGGACTTAGGGGAGGTACGGGGCTTCCCATCCATCCCGCCGGCCCCAGGACTCGCCGTCGCCGCCATCGCCTCAATGGCCCCGGGCTCCTGGTCCCGTGCGCGCGCGGCCCCGCTCGCGGCCAAGGTGACACCGCGCGCGCAACAGGGGCGAAGGCGCGCGCACGCCCCTCCGGCTCTTAGGTCCTGCACCAGCTGGGAGCCGGCGCAGGCGCAGGCGCAGGCGCAGAGCGCAAAGGTGGCCGGGAGTAAGGCGGGGCTAAAGGAGGAGCTTGAACGATGGGTGCGGGAGTTGGGTGTGGCTGATTTAGGAAGCTAGAGCATAGGCGCTGTTTTTACCGAATTGGATTCGCGGGAAAAATAGATTGTTTGAAGATCTCGCGAGATCGAGAGAACTAGGCGAGCCAGATTTAGACCTTTCGCGATAGATAACAGCAACATTTCAGCGGGTTGGGAGGGAATGGGGGTATGTGACTATCGCGAGACCTGAAGGTACCGCGGCGGCCGCTGCCAGGAAAAAGAAAGGTTTGTAAACTGGGCATCTCCAGGATCCCGGGCACTAAAACGCAGACAACTAGGTTATCTTTCGAGGCTTCGGTACTCCTTCCCTCTCCACAGGCACTCGCTCCAACTCTAACCTTCTTTTAACCGGCCTTTTAGAACCGGAAGTCCTTCATCTTGAGCGCTTAATGCTGGAAGAGGCCTGACTTTCTTTACCGGAAACCCTTTTTCATGGACTAGGAAGACAGCCCACCTGGCCGGAAGTCCCACCCTCTTGAGCTCCCCCACCCTTACAGAAGTTTTTCTGTCACCTGTGTTTGCCTTTCTGTCACCTTTCCCCGTTTTATCCCTGTAACAGAAAAGGACACATTTAGTGTCTCCCTCCCTACCTCCACTAACGGGGTGGATATATCACTCCCCGAAATGGGGTGCCTTTCCCGCGCCCCCATGTAGTTGGGAAGTGAGACCTGGGGGTGGTCGTACCCCTGGGATCCTGAAGGAGGGGCAGAGACGGCGCAGAACTCTTCTGCTCCTGCTACGAGGACGTGGCCTCCTCAGCCTCTCCCTCCCGCTGCCATGCACCCTGCGGCCTTCCCGCTTCCTGTGGTGGTGGCCGCTGTGCTGTGGGGAGTGGCCCCTATCCAGGGGCTTATTCGAGCGGTGAGTTAGGGGCAGATGGGGGAAGGGCACTGAATGGAAGAGGTTGCAGGCTGAAGGGAACACGGATTCTTACTGTCCGCAGACCTCGGACCACAATGCCAGCATGGACTTTGCAGACCTCCCAGCACTCTTTGGGGCTGCCTTGAGCCAGGAAGGACTTCAGGTGACTTTTTCCCCTTTTCCCCGTTTCCTCAAATCCTCCATCCTGGTAGGGGTTGAGGAGCCTTGCCCTTGGGTGAACCGGAGGTAGGAAGAGTCAAGTTAAGAACTAAATGCAGAAACACATCTAGTGTGGAATCCAGAATCTAGAGGAAGAAGGCAAAGTCTCCTCCTAGATCTCTGAGCCTTACGTGGGAAACTGAACCGTGGATAAGATAAAAGGTAGGGGGAAGTGGTACTTATCAGTAGGGTCTGTGGAGCCAGTTACTGGTTCTACAACCCTGGACGTTAGTTATCCCTGAGCCTTTGTTTCACTGTAATAACGAAACAATAATATAAGTTATCTCAGGGTTATTGTGAAGATTCAATTAGATAAAGCAAATTTGTAGTACCTCATCACAAAGCAAGAACTCCCTTGGGCCACAGATAACAGTATATTTGTAAGATACGTAATTGCTAAATTAAAGGGAGGTGTTAAAAAATAAAATTCAAGAGAAAATTTAAAAAATCTTAGAGGCTTTTTTCAATGATTCATGAATTGGGTGGCATCCCATCTAGCAAATAGAAAAAAACTCCAAAGAACTGTACAAAATGAAAGACAGAAGGAGGTGTGACAAGGAAGTTTCACTAGCAAAGAGCTATGGCAAGGTCAGCCATTTTTAAGGGATGTAGCAGATTATCTCATTAGTGCTGATGAGGTGACCCCAGATTGACTGGGTTAGGGTTCCATTCCTTAGGGAGGCCGAAACTGTAAGTTAGGTATTAAGCATTGGTTTGGTGACCTGGGGCTTAGCACAAGTTAACTCTATTTGGGCCCGTTGTCTATTTTAACAGAGGGGAGTATGTACTGGAAAAGGGAATGTGAAACAGAACTTTAGAAAAAGTGGCATGGATGAATGGAGACGATTAGAATCAGTGGGCAACTGGAAGGCAGAAGGAATTTCATTAGCTTGGAATATGCAGTATAGGTTAGCTCATGGAGGGACAGGGAGAGGGGCGAAGAGTGGGTTTGGTAAGGGGATGTTGTCTGATACAATTGCATCTTCAGAAGGCGAAGAAAAGAGGGAGACTTGACTGGGGTGGGATGCTCAGAGGATGTGCAGTATGCGGGGCCAGTGTGCTTGGTGGGCTCTGGGGAGCAGAACCTAGGTCGTTTAAACCCGGTTGTTGTTTCTCTTCCCCAGGGCTTCCTTGTGGAGGCTCACCCAGCCAATGCCTGTAGCCCCATTGCCCCACCACCCCCAGCCCTGATCAACGGGTCAGTCTTTATTGCACTGCTTCGAAGATTCGACTGCAACTTTGACCTCAAGGTTGCTGAATGCGGAGTGGGAGCTGGGAAGCTGCGGCGGCGGGGTGGGGGTGGGGATGCGAAAGGCACCAGAAATAAAGGAGGGAAAGGCCTTTATCTCCTGTCTTTCTCCCTAGGTCCTCAATGCTCAGAAGGCTGGGTATAGTGCAGCTGTGGTACACAATGTGAATTCCAATGAACTTCTCAACATGGTGTGGAACAGTGGTAAGGCTGGGGAATCTAGACAGCTGAGTTTTCCAGTAGAGGTGAGACTTTACTGGAAAGATGATGGGAGGGCCTAAGGCTTAGGGAGAAGGAGTCAATCTTCTGGATGGGTGGGGGCAAAAGAGCCAGATGTTACTGAAGAATTTGAGTGGAGGGTTGGGTCCCTGGTGTAATGCCCTGATCCCTACAGAGGAAATCCAGCAGCAGATCTGGATCCCGTCTGTGTTTATTGGGGAGACGAGCTCCGAGTACCTGCGTGCCCTCTTTGTCTACGAGAAGGGGTAGGATGTGTTCCTCCTTTCAACTTACATGCCAGTCTAGAGCCCAAGCCTTAGTGCCCCAATCATTCAGCCTCAGGCCCCTCATACTCGGCCTTCTGATTTTATTCCCACCCCCTTCTCCATCTAGGGGCTTATCCAGAGCCAATTACTTCGTCCTTTTGTTTTTCCTCCCCCTCTGATAACCGGTGTTCCTTTTCCCAGGGCTCGGGTGCTTCTGGTCCCAGACAGTAGCTTCCCCTTGGGCTATTACCTCATCCCTTTCACAGGGATTGTGGGACTACTGGTTTTGGCCATGGGAACAGTGATGGTGAGTAGCTGAGGGAGTAGGATGGGGTGAGCTGAGGCGTTTAGTACCAGACTGGCTCTGAGGGTGGGAGATGGGGCTGGTTTGTACTACATGGCCCAGTTTTGTTCCCGAAGCCTGATCCATCTACTTCCCTAGATAGTCCGTTGTATCCGGCACCGGAAACGACTCCAACGGAATCGACTGACCAAAGAGCAACTGAAACAGATCCCTACACATGACTATCAGAAGGGTGAGAGGGCTAAGGGAGAGAAGGGCCTGCCCCACAGCTTACCTGGTTCTGAAGGAGTTTAAGCTCAGGAGATAACAGGGCAAAGAAAAATGGCAATGTCAGCCTGAGGTGCCATTCTTCTTCCTTTTATCCATACATACATTGAGGACAGGACAGGAATAGAGCAGGAGATGGAAAGCAAAGATGATTCAATGGACTAGTTGGAGGAAAAGGAGGAGAACCGACCTTGCTTACAAAGGTGGAGAGAACAGAAAAATGGAGGGAGCGGGGAGGATAGGGTCTGAGGAAGAAACAGGTAAGAAGGGGCTGGGTCTGGAGGCCTTGGAGCCTCTAGTGCCCATATAAGGCCATAGCAGAAGCCCTGCCCCCGTTTCCGCTCCTCCTCTCGTCTCCACCCTTACACACACACCCCCACACCCCCCAAACCCACTTCCCTTCTTACCTCGGCTCTTTGCTAGTCTCTTCCTACCCCCCGATTCCTCATGTTCCACTCCTGCCTTTCCCTGCCCACCTTTAGCTCTGTAGAACCAGGGAAAATAACATGCAGGAATTAGTTTCACCACAGGCTGCCCAAAGCGACTTCTGTGGGTCCTGGTCCAGGATGACCCAGTTTAAGGACTTTCTTCCTCCCCTAGGAGACCAGTATGATGTCTGTGCCATCTGCCTGGATGAATATGAAGATGGGGACAAGCTGAGGGTACTCCCCTGTGCTCATGGTGAGGCCCTGACTTCCTGTGCCCTTGGCCCACTCAGCCAGCAGACACGGTAATTCATCTCATGCCTCTCTGCAGCCTATCACAGCCGCTGTGTGGACCCCTGGCTCACTCAGACCCGGAAGACCTGCCCCATCTGCAAGCAGCCGGTTCATCGGGGTCCTGGGGATGAGGAGGAGGAGGAAGAAACACAGGGACAAGAGGGTGATGAGGAAGGGGGACCAAGAGACCACCCTGCTTCAGAGCGGACCCCACTTTTGGGCTCCAGCCCATTTCCCACTTCCTTTGGCTCCCTTGCCCCAGCTCCCATGTTCCCTGGGTCTTCAACAGAGCCCTCACCCTCTCCTCCTTCAGCTGCCATCCCGGTCTGACACTCCCCATACACCCCCTACCCACATACTTCTGGTGACCTACTGCATAGCACCTTTCTCCCTTCAGTCTTATATGCTGAGGGTAGGGGGACATTTCTGCCCTAGGTTTCTCNCAGACCAAAGTCCTCTTCCCCCAAGGAGGGAACCACACTGTGGAAGGAAAATAAATAGAGGGGCCCAGGGCAGCAGAGTTCAGGCCCTCCGGGGTGCACTGACTGGAGAAGCAGCTGGTGAATGGGAGCGCCAGCATACCAGCTCCAGGCCCCTCGCCCATCTCAGCCACTGAGAAAGAGACGCTTGTAGGCCTTGTTCATTTGCTCCAAGAAGATGAAGGTGAGGACGGTGTGGGGACCCAGACGGGCATAGTATGGTGTAAAGCCCTTCCATAGGCTGAAGAAGCCCTCGTAGCGGACAACCTTCACCAGCACATCCTAGACAGGCAGGCAGGGCACTGGGGATAGGACCTGGCCTCTGGGACCCTGTCCCTTTTTCCCAGCCACCCTTAGCACCCTCCCAGGGCTTCCAGTCCTCCAGCCTGAGCCCCTAGCCCTGCGTTCTCACCAGCCCATTTTTGTATTCCGGCTTCCCGTCAATCATTCTCATGTTCTGGATCCTGTAGGAGAGAAGATAAGGGAATGGGAGACATAAAGGAGGCCCTCCCATCCCTCTCCAGGCCCAGGCCTGCTTCCTCACCGGGTCTTGACAATGTCCACAGGCATGGAGGCAGCAGTGGTGACCAGGCCACTGATCATGCTGGCACAGAAGTGGCATAGGATGTTGTCAGAGAAGTAGCCTGAGGGAGGTGGAGCAGGGGGTGCCAGTCAGCTCAGAGCTAGCCCAGACCAGGCTGGGAGCTGAGAGCCCAGCTCTGGGTCTCACCTGAGTCCAGTAAGAACTGCTTGGATTGGGAGTAGGAGGCGAGCTGGGCAGCATTGACGACGACAGCCCGAGCCATGGTAGGGATGCAGCCCTAGCATGGGGGAGCAGGGGAGGAGTCAGAAATGCCTGAGACCTGACCCCACGTCCTCCACATCTTCAGCCCCTTCACTCACCCTCCACAGTGTGGGGATACCCTCCTCCCGGGTAATTCGAATCAGAGCATTAAACACGTTTTTGTAGCCACGGCGTTGTTCAGCTGGAAGCCTGGTGGGAAGGCAGGGAGAGGCCAAGCTCAGGATAGACCACCCTGTCCCACAGCAGCAAAGAAAGGGAGGCCAGAACAGGTGAATGCTCTGCTCTAGGTCTATGATAAGAAATTAGTCCTTTTATTCTAGATTCTAGAGAATGAGGCTAGGGGCAGGCTCCAAACTCACCGGCCATCGGCAGTCATGCGGATAAGAGCCACCTCCGCTGGTGTTCCCACAAAGGCACCAGTTGCACCCGCAGTCATGCCAATTAGGGCCTTCAGCAGAAAGCCAGGGGGTGTACCATCAGACCCAGTCAGGCGCTCAAACAGCACAGTGTAGATGCCAAGGCGAGTAGTGGTGTAGGTGGCCTGGCGCAGCAGGCCAGCCGACAGTCTGGGGAATGAAGGGGTGATTACATCAGGCCAAGGTCTGGAGCTGCCAACCCACACCCTACCCCCATCCTGTTGCCCAAATACCCGGTGTAAATGCCCCTCAGCCCTTCTGTCCTCAGGATGCTGGTGAGAGCATGGAAGCTGGTTTTGTACTCTCGTGTCTTGGCTCCTTCCCCACTCAGCTGCATCCGGTTCTTCACGAGGTCCAGGGGCTGTACAAAAACTGTAGCTCCCATCCTGGGGGAAGACAGGAGTGGAGTCAAGGTCCAGATGTCACACGGGGTGACAAAGGGCAAGGCCTGCAATGCAACTAAGTATTCAGAAGGCTGGTGAGCACGTGTATAAGAGTCTCCCAGTGTACCAAAAGCAAACGTATCTGGAAAAGTCCAGTGGTCCAGAAGAGGCCTTGCAATGTAAGTACTTCATGCAGTACCAAGGGGGTCAAGCAGTGACCTGGGACTGCATGCAGTCCAACCACGGGAGGGGTGGTGGGCATCTTGACCTGGGACTCCATGTAGTCTGGCAGAAGCCATGCAATGACCTGGAACCCCATACACTCCGGCAGAGTCAAGTAATGGGTTGGGAAACTAGGGTGGCTCAGCGAGGGCAGTGCAACGACCCCGCGTGCAGCTGAGTAGGGGCCTTCCAAAGGGTGAAAAGATCCTGGCAGCCCATCGAGGAGCTCGCAATACGCTAGGGACCGCGCTGACCCCATGCTGGCTCCGTTCACTGCAACAGACCCAAAGATGAACCCGGCCCGATTCCATACACCCGTCCCTTCCTCCTCCTTTTCCATCCCTGGGGCCTGAGCTTACCCCGCCAAGCCCCCAAACAGGAACTTGACGGACTTAGGGGAGGTACGGGGCTTCCCATCCATCCCGCCGGCCCCAGGACTCGCCGTCGCCGCCATCGCCTCAATGGCCCCGGGCTCCTGGTCCCGTGCGCGCGCGGCCCCGCTCGCGGCCAAGGTGACACCGCGCGCGCAACAGGGGCGAAGGCGCGCGCACGCCCCTCCGGCTCTTAGGTCCTGCACCAGCTGGGAGCCGGCGCAGGCGCAGGCGCAGGCGCAGAGCGCAAAGGTGGCCGGGAGTAAGGCGGGGCTAAAGGAGGAGCTTGAACGATGGGTGCGGGAGTTGGGTGTGGCTGATTTAGGAAGCTAGAGCATAGGCGCTGTTTTTACCGAATTGGATTCGCGGGAAAAATAGATTGTTTGAAGATCTCGCGAGATCGAGAGAACTAGGCGAGCCAGATTTAGACCTTTCGCGATAGATAACAGCAACATTTCAGCGGGTTGGGAGGGAATGGGGGTATGTGACTATCGCGAGACCTGAAGGTACCGCGGCGGCCGCTGCCAGGAAAAAGAAAGGTTTGTAAACTGGGCATCTCCAGGATCCCGGGCACTAAAACGCAGACAACTAGGTTATCTTTCGAGGCTTCGGTACTCCTTCCCTCTCCACAGGCACTCGCTCCAACTCTAACCTTCTTTTAACCGGCCTTTTAGAACCGGAAGTCCTTCATCTTGAGCGCTTAATGCTGGAAGAGGCCTGACTTTCTTTACCGGAAACCCTTTTTCATGGACTAGGAAGACAGCCCACCTGGCCGGAAGTCCCACCCTCTTGAGCTCCCCCACCCTTACAGAAGTTTTTCTGTCACCTGTGTTTGCCTTTCTGTCACCTTTCCCCGTTTTATCCCTGTAACAGAAAAGGACACATTTAGTGTCTCCCTCCCTACCTCCACTAACGGGGTGGATATATCACTCCCCGAAATGGGGTGCCTTTCCCGCGCCCCCATGTAGTTGGGAAGTGAGACCTGGGGGTGGTCGTACCCCTGGGATCCTGAAGGAGGGGCAGAGACGGCGCAGAACTCTTCTGCTCCTGCTACGAGGACGTGGCCTCCTCAGCCTCTCCCTCCCGCTGCCATGCACCCTGCGGCCTTCCCGCTTCCTGTGGTGGTGGCCGCTGTGCTGTGGGGAGTGGCCCCTATCCAGGGGCTTATTCGAGCGGTGAGTTAGGGGCAGATGGGGGAAGGGCACTGAATGGAAGAGGTTGCAGGCTGAAGGGAACACGGATTCTTACTGTCCGCAGACCTCGGACCACAATGCCAGCATGGACTTTGCAGACCTCCCAGCACTCTTTGGGGCTGCCTTGAGCCAGGAAGGACTTCAGGTGACTTTTTCCCCTTTTCCCCGTTTCCTCAAATCCTCCATCCTGGTAGGGGTTGAGGAGCCTTGCCCTTGGGTGAACCGGAGGTAGGAAGAGTCAAGTTAAGAACTAAATGCAGAAACACATCTAGTGTGGAATCCAGAATCTAGAGGAAGAAGGCAAAGTCTCCTCCTAGATCTCTGAGCCTTACGTGGGAAACTGAACCGTGGATAAGATAAAAGGTAGGGGGAAGTGGTACTTATCAGTAGGGTCTGTGGAGCCAGTTACTGGTTCTACAACCCTGGACGTTAGTTATCCCTGAGCCTTTGTTTCACTGTAATAACGAAACAATAATATAAGTTATCTCAGGGTTATTGTGAAGATTCAATTAGATAAAGCAAATTTGTAGTACCTCATCACAAAGCAAGAACTCCCTTGGGCCACAGATAACAGTATATTTGTAAGATACGTAATTGCTAAATTAAAGGGAGGTGTTAAAAAATAAAATTCAAGAGAAAATTTAAAAAATCTTAGAGGCTTTTTTCAATGATTCATGAATTGGGTGGCATCCCATCTAGCAAATAGAAAAAAACTCCAAAGAACTGTACAAAATGAAAGACAGAAGGAGGTGTGACAAGGAAGTTTCACTAGCAAAGAGCTATGGCAAGGTCAGCCATTTTTAAGGGATGTAGCAGATTATCTCATTAGTGCTGATGAGGTGACCCCAGATTGACTGGGTTAGGGTTCCATTCCTTAGGGAGGCCGAAACTGTAAGTTAGGTATTAAGCATTGGTTTGGTGACCTGGGGCTTAGCACAAGTTAACTCTATTTGGGCCCGTTGTCTATTTTAACAGAGGGGAGTATGTACTGGAAAAGGGAATGTGAAACAGAACTTTAGAAAAAGTGGCATGGATGAATGGAGACGATTAGAATCAGTGGGCAACTGGAAGGCAGAAGGAATTTCATTAGCTTGGAATATGCAGTATAGGTTAGCTCATGGAGGGACAGGGAGAGGGGCGAAGAGTGGGTTTGGTAAGGGGATGTTGTCTGATACAATTGCATCTTCAGAAGGCGAAGAAAAGAGGGAGACTTGACTGGGGTGGGATGCTCAGAGGATGTGCAGTATGCGGGGCCAGTGTGCTTGGTGGGCTCTGGGGAGCAGAACCTAGGTCGTTTAAACCCGGTTGTTGTTTCTCTTCCCCAGGGCTTCCTTGTGGAGGCTCACCCAGCCAATGCCTGTAGCCCCATTGCCCCACCACCCCCAGCCCTGATCAACGGGTCAGTCTTTATTGCACTGCTTCGAAGATTCGACTGCAACTTTGACCTCAAGGTTGCTGAATGCGGAGTGGGAGCTGGGAAGCTGCGGCGGCGGGGTGGGGGTGGGGATGCGAAAGGCACCAGAAATAAAGGAGGGAAAGGCCTTTATCTCCTGTCTTTCTCCCTAGGTCCTCAATGCTCAGAAGGCTGGGTATAGTGCAGCTGTGGTACACAATGTGAATTCCAATGAACTTCTCAACATGGTGTGGAACAGTGGTAAGGCTGGGGAATCTAGACAGCTGAGTTTTCCAGTAGAGGTGAGACTTTACTGGAAAGATGATGGGAGGGCCTAAGGCTTAGGGAGAAGGAGTCAATCTTCTGGATGGGTGGGGGCAAAAGAGCCAGATGTTACTGAAGAATTTGAGTGGAGGGTTGGGTCCCTGGTGTAATGCCCTGATCCCTACAGAGGAAATCCAGCAGCAGATCTGGATCCCGTCTGTGTTTATTGGGGAGACGAGCTCCGAGTACCTGCGTGCCCTCTTTGTCTACGAGAAGGGGTAGGATGTGTTCCTCCTTTCAACTTACATGCCAGTCTAGAGCCCAAGCCTTAGTGCCCCAATCATTCAGCCTCAGGCCCCTCATACTCGGCCTTCTGATTTTATTCCCACCCCCTTCTCCATCTAGGGGCTTATCCAGAGCCAATTACTTCGTCCTTTTGTTTTTCCTCCCCCTCTGATAACCGGTGTTCCTTTTCCCAGGGCTCGGGTGCTTCTGGTCCCAGACAGTAGCTTCCCCTTGGGCTATTACCTCATCCCTTTCACAGGGATTGTGGGACTACTGGTTTTGGCCATGGGAACAGTGATGGTGAGTAGCTGAGGGAGTAGGATGGGGTGAGCTGAGGCGTTTAGTACCAGACTGGCTCTGAGGGTGGGAGATGGGGCTGGTTTGTACTACATGGCCCAGTTTTGTTCCCGAAGCCTGATCCATCTACTTCCCTAGATAGTCCGTTGTATCCGGCACCGGAAACGACTCCAACGGAATCGACTGACCAAAGAGCAACTGAAACAGATCCCTACACATGACTATCAGAAGGGTGAGAGGGCTAAGGGAGAGAAGGGCCTGCCCCACAGCTTACCTGGTTCTGAAGGAGTTTAAGCTCAGGAGATAACAGGGCAAAGAAAAATGGCAATGTCAGCCTGAGGTGCCATTCTTCTTCCTTTTATCCATACATACATTGAGGACAGGACAGGAATAGAGCAGGAGATGGAAAGCAAAGATGATTCAATGGACTAGTTGGAGGAAAAGGAGGAGAACCGACCTTGCTTACAAAGGTGGAGAGAACAGAAAAATGGAGGGAGCGGGGAGGATAGGGTCTGAGGAAGAAACAGGTAAGAAGGGGCTGGGTCTGGAGGCCTTGGAGCCTCTAGTGCCCATATAAGGCCATAGCAGAAGCCCTGCCCCCGTTTCCGCTCCTCCTCTCGTCTCCACCCTTACACACACACCCCCACACCCCCCAAACCCACTTCCCTTCTTACCTCGGCTCTTTGCTAGTCTCTTCCTACCCCCCGATTCCTCATGTTCCACTCCTGCCTTTCCCTGCCCACCTTTAGCTCTGTAGAACCAGGGAAAATAACATGCAGGAATTAGTTTCACCACAGGCTGCCCAAAGCGACTTCTGTGGGTCCTGGTCCAGGATGACCCAGTTTAAGGACTTTCTTCCTCCCCTAGGAGACCAGTATGATGTCTGTGCCATCTGCCTGGATGAATATGAAGATGGGGACAAGCTGAGGGTACTCCCCTGTGCTCATGGTGAGGCCCTGACTTCCTGTGCCCTTGGCCCACTCAGCCAGCAGACACGGTAATTCATCTCATGCCTCTCTGCAGCCTATCACAGCCGCTGTGTGGACCCCTGGCTCACTCAGACCCGGAAGACCTGCCCCATCTGCAAGCAGCCGGTTCATCGGGGTCCTGGGGATGAGGAGGAGGAGGAAGAAACACAGGGACAAGAGGGTGATGAGGAAGGGGGACCAAGAGACCACCCTGCTTCAGAGCGGACCCCACTTTTGGGCTCCAGCCCATTTCCCACTTCCTTTGGCTCCCTTGCCCCAGCTCCCATGTTTCCTGGGTCTTCAACAGAGCCCTCACCCTCTCCTCCTTCAGCTGCCATCCCGGTCTGACACTCCCCATACACCCCCTACCCACATACTTCTGGTGACCTACTGCATAGCACCTTTCTCCCTTCAGTCTTATATGCTGAGGGTAGGGGGACATTTCTGCCCTAGGTTTCTCCTTTACCCAAATCCCACTAGAGGTGTAAAGGGACTGGGTCTTCACTTACTGGGTTAATAAAATCGATTTTTGTGGACTAAGGAAGGGTGAGATACTTCTCACAGGTGAACTTCCACTTTGGTAAACTGCCCATGTTCACATACAAGGGGCAGGGGAATGCTGGGAGACTAACCTGTAGTCATGGGGACAGTCCCAGCAGAAATTTGTTGTGACTCAGAGAGGGGGAGCCCCTCCCACATATGAGGATGACTCAACTGGCCCTGCCTTGCCCGCAGGCCTGGACACACTCTCTGGTCTGGGTGGCTTTATTCCATTATCCACTAATTCAACTAGCATGCTGAGGGCCTTGGGCTGGAAAT